AATTTTGGTTTAAATTGTCCTCCAATGATTGCGAGACGATTTTTCCCCTAATGGATGGTTCTGATTGCTTATTTTTATCATTTGAATATCCATATGGCTCTCTTTGTCTAATGGAAGGAAAACAGAACTTCTATACTTAAAAAGAATCTGAATAGTTGGCCAAATTTGTGTAGCCTTACCATAGAAGAGCCGAACAACAAATTTGTTAAAAAAAAATCCAAAGGGATTCTATTGTCATTTGAATGCTTCTCTAGTCTAAAGATGACCAAAAGAGCTTCTAAAGTTTATAGAAGATTTATAGAAGACACATAAGAAGAGGACTTCTTTTTTTCCATAAAATATCACAAGAGCTTCTTTTGTTATATAGAAGGTCCAGAGCGCTTATTTTTCCTTAGAAGACCCAGAGGGTTTTTGATGCTAAACGAAAGGTGCAGAGAGCTTCTCTAGTCTAAAGATGACCAAAAGAGCTTCTGAAGCTTATAAAAGATTCAACGAAAACGGGCATCGAAATTGTGAGACTTACTTTAATGAACCTGGGAGCTTCTGTTTTCCAGCGAAAAACTATCAGGCTTCAATTTACATTAGAAGGTCCATAGCGACTTATAAAGAAGGTCCTGAATTCTTCTGCTGTCAACAGAAAGCTCAGCTAATACGGATGGCTTATATTTCCTTCAAATGCCATAATCGTTTAACTGAAGGTTGTGAGAACTTATTTTATGCATAAAAGACCGAGATGCCTTTTATTGTCAGAAGAAAGGTACAGAGGGCTTATATAGACCTAAATAGGTCATGTAGTCTTTAAAAGTCCCAACGAGAACGAGTGACGAATTTTTAAGTCTTGAGAACGTATCCAGATCTAAAGATCTTCTTTTGACAGCAAAAGACTCTGAGTGCTTATTTTATTAGGGTTAATCAGAAGCTCCAGAGATCTTCTACTTTTTATAGAGAAACCACCCAGAGGGCTTCAATTGACAATGTGAGGTTCAGATTCTCTCTAAAACCCACCCTAAGGGCTTCAATAGACCGCTCTAAGCGATTATTGTATCCTTTGAAGCCCCATAGGTTTCATCGACTTTCGATTGTTTATTAAATACCTAGTAGGCTTCCAGGTCTTCTAGAGTACCGATGAGGCTGATAGGGGACACTTTAGGAAATTAGGATGGTTTTTATTGTCTATACAATAGGACTTTGGTTGTCAATGTCCCAGATGTCAATGTGAGATATTCGCACGCTTTTGACCGATTAGAGTCAACAGTAACTGTTTCTTACCCTGGCATATTTTCGGAATAGTTTTTTTCTGAGTCAACATAACGCCTTGCTTGATTTGACCCGCTGAATATTGACCGATCAAAACAGCCGTTCTAATTAGTTGACCAGATTTCCTCCCCCATGTGATTTTCGGCTTATTATTGTGACCTATAGTGTTTGGTCTATTCCAACCCCCGATTACATCCAAAGATTATAGGTATCGTCTTTGACCATAACCGGAACTTCGTCTAAAATTTCTATTCGATCAGCGCGAAATATATGCCCTCTAGTGTCGTAATAGTAATCTGTAAATATGTAGGTTTATACCTCCCATATCCGAGTATAATAAAATACGCATACGGCGTATATAAGCTATAGAGATCACCGAAGACTTCTATTGGTGATATGAAACTCAGATTCCTGAATTAGAAGGAATATTTTTATATAGAACCAGATGGATACCAGGGTTTATAATTTTATATATATATATATATATATTTTTTTTAATTTATTGCGTACAGAAGATCAAGATATCCCGTATCGTCTATAGAAGGTCCACGAGAAAGCACAGACCTATCCAGTGTTATATCTAACCCAACCCAAGTAACCATAGGGATTCTATTCTGTGTGGAAGAAATTTCCAATAGAGTACCTTGTGAATTTATCAGTCACTGGACGTTTTTTATGTTAAACAATGTTCAGGATTACTTGATCATGGAGATGCAATTCCTTTTCTTCTAAAAATATTCATCAATCATGAAGACTCCTTGACTCAAAGGCCAATTTTTTCTCAATATTTGGGACAAATTTTTCGCAGATTTGGTTGTATATATAAAAGTCATCATTACTGAACACTTCTAGGTCTTCCATAGGCATTGAAAACTATTATATTTTTTATATTCTACATGTAAAGACAATGGAAGACTTTTATATTTCCTGTAGCCCATAGAAGACCACTAGATTGGATATAGATCACAGAAAACCTCTAGATCTGTAAAATATTCTTCAGAAGGCTTTCAGTTTATACTAATTAGACTTCTATGGTCTTTGAAAAGCCTTCTATGGTATATGATAGACCTAGAGGTTTTTAGTTTCCATTAAAAACCTAGGTATCATCTGCGATCTACAAGTTATAGAGGCCTTCTTATGTCTCTAGGTGCCCTAGTGGTCTTATATGGTTTATAGCGGTATTTTTCGACCTATAGGCAACCTAGAGGTCATTTACAGTGCATACAAAACTTAGAGGTCTACAGTATACCTCAACGCCTTCTATAGGCAATAGAACACCCCAATGTCTTCAATAGACCACAGAGGGCCACCAGGTCTTCTACAGACCATAGAATAGCTCTATAAATCCTTTGGGATACCTATAGACATTAAAATCCCTCTAGGTCTTTTATAGATCGCAGAAAACCTCTATGTCATTTTAGAGAACGCCTCCAGGTCTTTCAGAGACTAACGAGGATGTCTTGGCCTCCTACAGACAACATAGTACGAAGACTTAAAACACCCCAGCTTTTCACTTTAATTTCCAATTAAAACGTAAATTGTAGCAAATTAAAATATTTGTATTTAAACTTCGTGGGTTTTGATGGACATGACTTGGCAACAATGTTGTTCGGGTTAAAAACTCCTCGACATGATGGCAATGATTTAAATTGAGATTAACCAAAAACCGAAAAGCAAAAAAAAAATGAAAATAAATAAAAAAGAATAAAGACTATGGACAACGTAAGAAGTGCCACACCATCCAAGAAATGCCCATGTGTGTGGGCGTAGGTGATTACAAGGTGGAACACCCTAGTAGAGGCTCTGTAAGATGATCCACAACAATTTAGGGAAAACAAAAAACTCGAAAGGTAAATCGCATGGTATGGAATGAGTTTACTTCTTTTGGGATATCAAAATGTTGGCCCTTCAGATAATGTACCTACCTACCGAAAATAATATGTCAAACATGTTCATGTGTGTGTATATATCGGTGGATGTGTGTGTGATAATGACATGAACACAAGATGGATGAGATGAAATGAATGAAAGGTGAGATGAGACTACAAGAAGAATTGAAAAGTGATGGTGTTGTTTTTGTTTTTGGTTTATTGTTACTAGATGTTACATGCAATTACTCTATCCGCTACACGATGAAAATAAACGAAATGAGGAGAATGAAACCAATGTTGGCGTTCGCTGTTCGTTCCTGTTGCTGTCATTATCACTGGCGGTGGTAATGTTGCAGATGACAATGATGGGAACAGGCACCAACAACAGCAACACAATTTTCTTCAACAACAATATACAAATACTAGAATACTGACTACATAAGGAAGGTTGAAAAATGAGAAATAAAAGTGAAATCAAATTAAGAAACTATTGAAAGGTATTTATTTACACAAAAAACAAACTCACACACAATGCTACATATAGATGGTGTACGAATGAATTATTAGCAAAACGAAATGGAATTATACAAATGAAAAAGAGGAAACATAAAATAAACAGAAAAAAGTACATCCACTTAAAACATAAGTAGTAAGATTCTCAGATTACTGAATTTCTATTTTTTTCCACATGGTGTATGAAATGTATGTTTTTATATTTATTTATAAGTATGGTAAGATGATATATGCTACATAAACTATATGAAGTGGATTGGTGAGCTCCTACAGATTAAAAAAAAATAACTAAATGAACAAAAAAATTAAAACGAACTCATCTACGGGAATTACACAGGAGAAAATGCAGCACTGGTAACCAAAGCCCAACAAAGCTCTGCAAAGACCGTGGGAGGCATTTAAGAGAAGACCACAAGGTCTGCTATAGATCATAAAATACCACCAGATATTTTACAGACCACAGAAGACCATTGATTTATCTAAAGACCAAAGACAACCACTAGGACTTCTATAGACCAAAGAAGACCACTAGGTCTTCTATAGACCATAGAAGACCACTAGGTCTTCTATAGACCATAGAAGACCACTAGGTCTTCTATAGACCATAGAAGACCACTAGGTCTTCTATAGACCATAGAAGACCACTAGGTCTTCTATAGACCATAGATGACCACTAGGTCTTCTATATACCATAGATGACCACTAGGTCTTCTATAGACCATAGAAGACCACTAAGTCTTCTATAGACCATAGAAGACCACTAGGTCTTCTATAGACCATATAAGACCACTAGGTCTTCTAAAGACCATAGAAGACCACTAGGTCTTCTTTAGACCATAGATGACCACTAAGTCTTGTAACCTGAAAAAATATGTTTAAAAAATCCACGTCCATTGTAGTACCCTGAAAAATTTGTTTAAAAAATTCACGGCTATTGTTGTGCCCTGATAAAATATTTTTAAAAAATCATGGCTTTAAAAGACTTTCGATGCTGCTGCATTTCTCCTGATGCAATTTTTGTAAAAAAAAAAACTAATTTAAAAAAATCTCTACTTACATACATACATTGAAAGTGAAGTAGGAGTGAGTTGGTGTGTATTGAATGACATACGTGAAAATGACACAAATACATAAAGACAGACAGGTACACTTATTTGGTTACACTGTTACACAATCTACACTCATTATTATCCTTTGCAGCGCAGGATATAAAGGATACACTACACTGCATCAATGAATGAATGAGTGAGTGATAGTGTTACACATATTTCATTGAATACACTGAGAGAAATTTAAAGAAGGATTCAAAGGATATACTTTATTATTTTCAAAGAAAATAAAATTTATTATTCTAGTTACCTTATCCAAATTTCTTTCACTGTATATCAAATGAAATCGTGTACATAGTGTATAATCATCATCGTCATCCGCTTCGTCATCATCGTATTTCATCATACATTAGTAGCGCACAATAAACACTTACCTAAAAAAATATAGAGAAAGAGAAAAGAGATAAAAAGAAAACAAATAGACTGTTAGTAAAGTATAGAATGACAATTGAATTGCATGTGTAATACATTTGTATTTGTAGAGGACTTTCGTCTGTGTGTGTGTTCATGTGTGTGCTTTCATGTATCCTCTGTGCGATGGCATTAAAAGCTGACAGGAAATGTAAAACATGCTTAAATATAATACGAACCAACGAACGAGCGAGCGAGCAACCAGTTCATTTACAATGGAGTAATTCGACAGTGAAGCACACAAAAAGCGATAATTCATCAAATGTGAAATTTGTGCCAATTATCCTTCACTGGGATGGGAGTTGGATGGAAACGAAAATGAAAGTAAAACAAAATAAAATAGATTTACAAAGAAAGAAGCTTGATATAAAAAAAAAACGAGGATGCAATGGAATAAAGAAATTAATTGTAATTTGAATTGAAAATCCGATAGAAGCAAATTTAAGCGAAATATTTTAGGGCACTAAAATGGGCGTGGATTTTCAAATATATTTTTCAAAGGGTACTACAAGAGACGTGGATTTTTATACCCTACACAACTATGTTGCCAGGGTATTATAGCTTTGTGCAGACCCAAGGGTTTGTAACGCCGCGAAATATTGGTCCTAGACCCACCTTTAAGTATACCAATTGTCATATCTAGACTAGCTGACTCGATCTAGACATGTGTGTCCGTCCGTCCGTCTATCCATTATAATTTGTAAACACGATACAGGCCACAGTTATGGACCAATCTTCACAAAATTTTGCATGTAGGATGGGTCCTGGCCAATGACGACCCCTGTTGTTTTTGCTAAAGATCGGTTAATGTTTGGGGGATGATATGGACCAAAAACTTTATTTTTGTTTGATTTTCTAGCCGCTCCAAGGACCGCAATTATGGCCCAAACATTGCGAAATTTTACATGGGGATCGGGCCAAAGAATAACCTGTTTCGATAAAGATCGGTCAATATTTAGCGGGTCAAATAAAATAATTTTGTGCGACAAATTACAAAATTTGAATTCTATAGCGTATATATTTAACCCTGAAGGACATAGACCCGAGAAGTCGATTGTATATCCAAGAGGAGTGTTGTCCTTTAACTTGATATAAATTATATTGTCGCATGTACTCGGATGTGGGAATTAGACTTAAATATTTACGGGTGCTTACGTATTCAGATATTATTTAGTAAGCCATTAACACATTGTAGGGCGGAATATAGCGCTGATGGGTTTGAAATTTCCCATGAGGTTCCAATTGTGGTCAAGGACAACGCCTATAATTTTCGATGATGATCAGATAATATTTTTGGGATGAATTGGACCAAAAACTTTTTTGTTTTTTTTTTTTTTTTTTTTTTTTTTGAGTCGATCTATAGGCTACAATTGAAAGTCCAACATCACAACACAACCCACGAAATATTGCCCAAGCTCAGAACTACACCGCAGAAAGTTAAATTTTCTTGGAAGTTGTGTAGGATATCATATGGTCGGCCACGTCCGTCTATACTGCTCCGCTCACTGGTTAAAAATATTTTTCTTGAGACTTACAGTAGGCGTGGATTTTTCAAAGAATTTTTCTAGAAACCAACAATAGGCGTGGATTTTTGAAAGTATTTTTCTAGAAACCAACAATAGGCGTGGATTTTTGAAAGTATATTTTTAGAGACCGACAATAAGCGTGGGCCTACAATAAGCATATTTTCCATTCCCCATAGGATAAGCACTTTTCAATTGAAGCTGCATTAAACATTGCCTTGTCATCTAATTGTGCGTGTAATTAAGAGGCTTCTCCCATCCCCCAATTTAGAACAAGAATGTCCTTCCAAATGGAAAAATATCTTAGGAATTAAGCTTTATCATGTTGTATATCTTTGTTTGTGTGTGTGTCTAACTTTATTTTAATCATGATGTTTGAAAAACTAGAAGTTGCTGACAAACGTTCCGAACATAAAGAAGAGAAATGAAAAGAGGCAAAAATTAGTAGAGGGTGTCTATAGAGGAGTAGCAGCGGTAGTTATTGATGTTGTTGTTATCGTAACATAAAGACATTTTAAGGATATTTGAACTTGCAGACGACTTGCTAAGCGATAATCCTTGAAGTTCATTATGGAGCTTTGTCAGTCAATGTTGTTGTTATCGTCGATGCATTTCTCCTTTTTTGTATGTGTGTTAGGACATAGTTTAGTCATGTTCGTTCTTCTGTTTCCCCATTTTATAGACAATACTACTTTGGCAATATGGCCCTACCCCCACCAAGCCAGGGTGAAAAGACAGATTGTCTGACAGACCCGGCCAGACCAGACCGATAACTACAAGCAAGCAATTTATACTTCATTAATGTTTTGTTGAATGATGGCGAGGCAAAAAACTTAAAATACGGCCAAAGGCAATTGGACAAAAGAAAAATATTGAAAAACAGTAAATGAAATACAAACAACAACACACACAACAACAACATTGTTGAATGCATGATGGGTGGGTTGCAGGATGGCTAGATGGATGCATAAAAACAACAAGAACAGGAACATCGATGATATTATTTCGCTTCTCTCCTCCACATCTCCTTTTAGTGTTTTTCTTCTAGTTTATGCAGTTGGTGTTTCGTCTTTGTGTTGTTGTTGTTGCCGGTCTTTTCTACTATGTTCGGGTCTTGTTTGTGTATTTGAAAAGGAACAAGTTGTAGGACATGCTATGTGCATGTGTATTCAATACCATTCAAGTTATGTGCAACATGGAATTGAATATTTGTGTGTGTATTTTCAGAATAGTTAAAAAGTAAAAGTTGTTGACTGCAACACCATTACCACAATTAAATGAAATAGGATATTCCACGTCATTACCACAGAGTGGCTTTTTTAGGTTTGAGTAATGTTCAAGGAATGACTTTCTGTAGTTCTTTTGAACGAGAAAAAATAATTTTAATGGTTTATTTTTTTTTAACAATTTTGAATTGCATATAACCGAAATTAAGAAAACCATTTCTTTTTTAATATTTTTAGAAATCCAACCACAACATAGGTCAATAAAACATATTTAAAAAAATCTACGCCTAACGTAGGCCCATGAAAAAATATTTTTTAAATTACACGCATTTTGTGAGCTTGAAAAAATATTTTTAGAAAAACCCAAACCTTAAAAAAATATTTTTAAACCAGTGAGCAGAGTAGTATAGTCGGTTGGGCCGACCGTACGATACCCTACACAACTACCACGGAAATCTAACTTTTTTTATACGGAGCCTGTGTAATATTTCGTTATAATTGCACACTCTTGCCCGATAGAGGTAACAGCACCTCTTCCTTATACTGACATATTTTCCGAATATTACTAATATTCACTACAGTCCTTCTAATCATTAGAAGGAGTTGTAATTGTCCAGATTCCATTCACCGTGGATTGTGTTTTGATGTTCGGCTTATAATTTTGGCCTATGGGTCGACTCGAAAAAATAAATAAAAAATAAAGTTTTTGGTCCACTTCATCCCAAAACTGTTATCTGATCATCACCGAAAGTTCTAGTTGTTGTTCTTGAACATAAATGGATCCTTATGGAACATTTCAGAGCGATCAGCGCTGTATTTCCGCCTTCCAGTGTGGTAATGGGTTTCTAAATAATATCTAATCTAAGCACCTGTTAATATTTAAGTGTAACTCCCACATCCAAGTACATACGACAATTAAACTATCGATATAAAGGTCAACCACTCCTCTTGGATATACTATCAACATCTCGGGTCTATCTCTTTCAGGAGTAAATATATACGCCATAGAATAGAAGTTTTGTAATTTTTCACACAAAAGTCAGCGTCCATTTGACCCGTTAAATATTGATAAATTTTTATCGAAACAGACATAGGAATAATTCGGGTCATAATTGCGGCCTCTGGAGCGACCAGAAAACCCGACAATAATTAAGTATTTGGTCCATTTCATCCCCTAAATATTAACCCATCTTTACCAAAAACAATAGGGGTCTTCTGTGGCCATAACCCATTCTACATGCAAAATTTCGTGAAGATTAGTCCATAACTGTGGTCAGTATCGTGTTTGCAAATTATAATGGACAGACGGACGGACACACATGTCTAGATCGACTCAGATAGTCGAGATATGACGATTGATATACTTAAAGGTGGGTCTAGGACCAATATTTCGCCGCGTTACAAACTCTTGGGGCTGCACAAAACTAAAAAATTGTGTAGGGTATAAAAATGCAAGCCTTCAAAAAATATTTAAAAAATCCAGAATCCATTTCTGTTGATCATAGAATACCCCCTGGTCCTCTATAAGCCATTGGAGAACATTATTAGACCATAGAATACCAACTGGTCTTCTGTATGGCATAGAAAATCTCCAGGTCTTCTATAAACCATATAAAACCACCAAGTTTTCTATAAATCTGAGAAGAGTTACATGTCTTCTATAGACCCTAGAAGACTTCTAGCCATCTGTAGACCATAGAAGACCTATGAGTGTTCTGTAGGCTATAGAGCCTCTAGGTCTTTTAAAAGCCATAGAAGACCACGAAGTCTTCTATAAGTCATAGCAAACCACTAGGTCTTCTATAAGCCATCGAAGATAATCAGGTCTTCTATAAACCATAGAAGACCAACAGGTCTTCTATAAGCTATAGAAGATTATCGCGTCTTCTATAAGCCATTTTAGACCTCAAAGTGTTTTAAATGTAGGCCAATGAAAAATTAAAAAAAAAATCACTCCTACTGCTTGAACTTGAAAAATATATTTAAAAAATGCAGACCTTTTTTGGACTTGATTTTTTTCCAAAATTTACGTAATTTCTTGAAAAAATATCTGTAAAAAATCAACACCTAAAAAAATATTTTTTTTTTTAAAATCCAAGCATCGAAAAATATTTATGAAACTCCACATTTAGTGTAAAATATTAAAAACAAAAATAACATTAAATGACCACTGTGCAGTAAAC